ATTTGTCTGGGAAGCTGAGAAAGATGTAGCAGACCCCACTAGTTTTCCAAGTTCCGAGCAAGCACGTAACCTCATCTCTGAGAAACTGTACAGTAAAGCATTTGTAACTATGATTGTATTTGCCAAGAGTCTAAAACTCACCCTACCAGAAAGAGGTCCAAACTCGTAAACAAGCCTTCTGAAGATAAAGTACACTGGTTAAAAATGAAATCACATCCCAGCACTCAGGAGGCAGGCAAATGCTGTGAGTTCAGAGGCTAGTCTGGTCTACATAATGAGTTCCTGGCCAGCTAGGGCTACAGGGAGGCCCTGCCTCAAAAATACCAGAAAAAAAAAGAAAAGAAAAAAGAAGTAACAAATTCAGGTCTCTGGGCTTTGGACAGTATTGAAAAACAAAAGCTAAGTCTCATGGTTAGGGTAATGAGAAAAAAAAAAAAAAAAACTAGGTTCACCCAATTCTAGAGTGACTGATAGATGAGAGTGTTAGAAGGTTCTGGAGTCTTCACATGCTTTTAGAGCCCATCTGTTACAGAACTTACATAGTACGTGATGAAAAGGTCATGAAAATCAACCTACTTCTGTCTTCACAACTAAGAAGTCACTTCTGAGGTTTGCCACCCTCTCTGTAACATAAGAGGTAAAATCTCACTTCTACTTTCGACGGGTACTGTGAAGAAAGTACATAAAAATACCAGAGTACTTTTTTCCTTGAACTTGTTCAGATTTGCAAACTACAGAAAAGTAAACTTTTCTTGTTCCAGGATATACCCTACAAATTTAACTGTTTTTGGTGAAGTGTTTTCTGTAGAAAACGAGGAACTTGGCCTTTCCAAGGGGGAAAGTCTTGAAGCAGGCCCTCATTCCCTTCTGCGAAGCTGTTCTACTTTCAAACTTGACAAAAAACATTAAGCAGGGTCTATAACATATACATGAATGTGTGTGTGTGCATGTCTGTGTATGTGTGTGTATATGTGTGTGCACTCACATACACACTCACTAACTCAAACCTCTGGAAGTTTCCTTAATTCTGACAGTCTCTATAAAATAAGGCTAAATCTCATCTCTTGACTTGAAAAGCACCAACACAGGTCTAGCACAGGACCAGAATTCAGTACCAACTGTTTTTTTGTGGTAATAGGAACAGAACCCAGGGCCATAGCCACTGACCTACTGACAGTTGTTTGGGTTGTTTTTATAAGCACAGGTCTTTCCCCTCCACCCACCCAACACTTCATTTTGCCTTCTGTTTGGGAGCAGTCTACTCATAGGAAACTAAACCACCCTATTCGCCAACATTTCTGTTCTGATCCAGTATGTTCTATTTTCTCTGCAGAGCAAAACAGCCAAGTGACCACCAATCCATGCTATTTAAATGCCGGAACAGATGGTAATGTTCCCCTCAGAATCTGTTCTTCCTGTGTTTACCTATCCTGGTTATGACCCACAGTCAGACAAAAGGCCCTGCAAGTCAACTGGTCCCTTCCTTCTCACTCCCATCAAGTCACCTAAAGGCCCTCAGAGAGGCTGCAGCTCCCTTCACTCCCCTGCCTGTGTGTGTCTGCCCCTTGTTGGTGAGATGATCTCCTGTCAGGACTCTTAGCTGGCTTCTCTGTGCCCTTCTAACACATGGTATCTTCCCAAAGCTCAAATATTAATCATCCGTCTAGGGTACCAACTATGGCTACAGTCTAAGCTCTAAACTCCTTGGCAAGGAATTCAAAGCTTTTCAGGATCTACCCCTGTCTACCAGCTGCTCCCAAAGGAACCCTGATATTCAGGAGTGCCAAATAGGCTTTGATAACTAGTCACTCCATCACACAGGCTGTACTTCTGCTGACATGGCTTCCTTTCTATCCCTTAACCTGGAATATTTGTTCACAAAAGTTTGCCATGCTTTTACTCATTTTTAATTTTACTCTGTTCAGACAAGGTAATGTAGCCCAGGATGACCTCAAACTCCTGATTCTCCTACCTATACCTACTAAGTGCTACCATCCTCAGCTCTTTCAGGCCTTTATTGGAACACTTATCAAGATTTTACTTATTTACTGCATTATTTCCTCTGTTCAAGAGTAAACCACTGCAGAGCAGGCCTTACGGTTACAGCCAGGTGCTAATTACACACAATATAGAAGGCATGTGCTAGCTACCAAAAAAACAGGACAGCAAAGGTGAACATGAGGGTTAGAGACTGAGAAATGGAGACCATTCTTCTACAAAGAGGATAACTTTGTTTTGTTGTTTTGAACAAGAGATTAGCCTGTCTCTGCCTCCCAAGTGCTGGAATTAAAGGTATGCACGACACCTGACAAGAATGTTTAAGGGAGCTGGAGAGATGGCTCAGCAGTTTAACAACACTGGCTGCTCTTGCAGAGTATTTGGGTTCGAGTCCCAGTATCAATATGGTGGCTAACAACCAACCCTAATTCCAGTTCCAGGGGAATTCGATGCCCTCTTCTGACCTCCAAAAGCACCACACTGACTTGGGTGCACTTAGATACATACAGGCAATACATTCATACACATAAAATAAATAAAAATTTACAAAAAGAATAATGTTTAAAAATGTTTTGAAAGTAACTTTTAACATTTGATCTGTAGACTTCTGGGGTGGTAAGCCTTCAAGATTTCTAGGACATGTAAGCCAAATGAATTACTAAAGAGAAAATTAATGGTGAACAATTTTCATAACTAGTAGAAAAATATTCCATGCACATTTTAAGGGGCTGATTAGGAGAAATTGAGTCAAAATGAACACATTAACAGAATTAAAATGTCAAATCTAACCAAACAAAAATGAACAACTAGAAATGAATTATTTTAGCTCAGTTTCAACTTTCATACTAGAACAGCTAATAGCAAATATATACCTGTATCTTTTGTATCCTGGTGCAGAGAGGTCTCTCTTCCTTGGACAATACTATAATTTTTATTTACAGGGAAAAAAATTTGAGAGCCAAAAGACAACAGATTCTTTTTTTCTTTTTGAGACAGGGTCTCCCAGTAGCCCCAGCTGGCCTGGAACTCACTATGTAGACCAGACTGGCCTTGAACTAACAGAGGTCCACCTGCCTCTGCCTCCAGAGTGCTGGGATTTACAGGCATTCACCACCAGGCCACCAAGCCAGGTAGACCACTGAGTATTTTCAACTTCCCCACAGAATCAAAAACACAAGACAGTGTGTATTGACAGGACAACCAGGAAGAAAGGAAGTGACATTTTCTAGGTCTTCATAGGACTTTTTGATGTAAAATGGTGGAATCAGAAGATGAGGGCAGTGTCTTTCCCAGAACTGGTTTTGATGGTGGGGGGAAGGGAGCAAACTCATTCTTTCCATTCAGCATTCACTGTTTTTCTGAGCAAAATTGACCCAGGCTTCTTCTCTAAGATGTCTACTTCATCAGCAGCCAACATTTACTGTCCACATCCCAGTTATTTCAACCCTAGCTAACAGGGATCACGGCCAAGAAAACTGGATGCAAGGAAAGGAGCTGAGTACAGCTCCTACACCCAGAGATTCTTAACCCAGAGACCTCTGAACTTAGTGCTCCTTCACCAAATGTGTCACATTTCTTCCATCAGTCTTACCACTGCACAAGGAAGAAAGATGACACATTTCTAAAGCAACCTACTATGTGCTTGGCATAGTAAATTAATTTGTCCCCACAACAGCCCTTCGGACTTGCCTTAAGCTTTAAAACAGCTTAAAATTTTCCCTTAAAAAAACTTGTTTTAGGCTGGATAAGTATTAACACAGTAATCCAACACCTACCTATCAGGTGTAGGACCCTAAGGGTTCATCATCACCTGATTACAGCGAAGATTCTCAAAGTCCAAGTTTTTTGGGTTTTAGTGTGCTCTCTTACTCGCTTCAAAAAGTGCACCCAAGCCTGGCTGCCTTTCACTAGTTGTAATTTGGTCAACCAAACTTGAAAGAAATGTGTTTAGTAACAAAACAAAGGGGAAAAAAGCGAATTTCAATTTGTATGTTGCACGTGAGCAAACCATCTAGGGATATTATTTCCCAGCCAAGGCCACATCTAGATGCTAACTCTTAAACACGCTGAAACAGGAAAGCAGATACGGTGTGGCTTACAGGATGTCTAGACTGCAGGCAAACCCCAAATACCAAAGAAGCATCCATGTGTCAAACCTGCATAATTTGAGCTACGCCTGGAGCCACGTAGCAAAAAAAATTTAGCTTGAAAAAACTTTCTAGGAGGCTAACTCGAGGGTCATCCCCAGTTCACAAGAATCTTGAAGCTCGCTGGGCTGGCTAGCCAGCACTACCCAGCGTCATCCATCCGAGCGACTCCCAGCACTGTTTTACTATCTCAGAAAGGCTCTACTTACTCCCTAAACCCTGGCTTCCTCAAGGTCAGTCTTCAAAAGCTGAGTCCCACACACCTAAAGGCCAAAAAACATCGCTCTTCCGGAAAATCATCCTGTGAATACTTGACATGCCTTCAGGCTTTGCTCCGGAACTCCACCAAAAAAAAAAAAAAAAAAAAAAAGGTACTTCCATACTCCCAAGATCTTAATTTAATTTAGCGTGGGTACCTTAAACATGTTCAATTCTGCAGCGCAAATTACTTCCATAGCTTTTCAAGTCTGGCAAACTCGAGTTCAAAAGCAGGTGCTTTCCGTACACTAACCACAGGGTCCCAATTACCCACGAGGGGAGCAAAGTTGCCTGGACTTCATGGGATAGGTAAGGAGGGGGAGACCAGTGCTCCCAGGGTACTGCGCGTCCGGCTCCTCGGTGCTTCCTCACCTGCGGCCAGGGAAGGTGGGGCGAGCGGAAACAAAGACGGACTGCGGTCCGGTCCCCGGGAGCACTCTGCACCCCGCTCCGCAGCCGCCCCGCCCAGCCTGCCCCGCGCGGCGCCCCACGTGCAGAAACACAAAGGCGGCACGCACCCCTGTTCGTCCAGCACCCCGAACCTGCCCACGCCGCGTCGGGGGTCCAGAGGCATCCCCACGCGGGGACCGTCCTCACCTGCGCCGGCTCTGGGCCCCCGCCGCCCACAGGCCGCGCCTCCCGTCCCTGCGGCCGCTCGCCTGACGTAATTCAAACATGGCAACAGTTCACTTCAAAGCGGATGCTCGGAGCTCCCCGCCGCGCGGCCCTACGCGGAGCCACGCCGGGACGACCGCGGACAGCGGCCATGGATGCCCCGCCCAGCCCGCAAACTTTCCTGAGAGAACCGAGGGACAAAGCCGCCCGAGCCCGGCCCGCGCCGCTGGGCACACGCGGCCCTTTGTTGTCCGGCGGCGTCGGGGCCCCTCGGACGCGGCCCGGGCCAAACTTTTGCGGCGTCCGCGACCCCCGGGTCCCCTCGCTAGCCCGCGACTTTCGTTCCGCTTTCGAACCGGGACAGATGGTGTCCCCGGGCGATCCTTGTCCGGCGTCCCGAGGCCCCGACGGCGCCCGCAGCCCACGCCTCAGGCGGGGCGGAACCGGGCGGGCCCGGGTCGCGGCCCGCAGCACGTGGCCTGTCAGGTGGGGCGCACAGAACCGGCTGCAGGGGAGTGGGGCGCCCGCGTCGCGGCCCCGCGCTACAGGTGATGGGGCGAGAACTTCGGCGGGCCGGGCCGCGACCTGCGACTCAGCTGCGCGCAGACCCCGCGGGCTTGGTCGAGCCGCGTCCCCACGCCCGCTTTGTTGTGCACCCGCGTACAAGCCCCGGCGGGAGCCGAGCACGCGTGTGCTCGAGGAGACCCCGGGTCCACACGCGAGCTGCGGCGCAGCGAGGTCCTTGTCACCTTCGGCTTTTCGGAGTCAGCCGTCCGCGCAGCCTCCCCTCCCACACGCGTGGCACGCGTGGAGACCCCGGAGTGCCGAGCGCACGCGGACCGCGCTGCCTGCACTGCCATCCGAGACAAAACTTCCTGGGGCTGGAGTGTGCAAGCCGCAGGAGACGGGGAGCTGCGGGGACCGAGACGCGCCCGAGCGCCGCACTCACCTCCCCACGCGGCCGTCCACGCGCAGACTCTTCTCTCTTGCGGCTCCGCGCGTTGCCTCCGCCCCGCTTGCTCCGCGAGGACCGTCTCTCCGGCAGTTCTGCAGTTGCTGCGCGGCCGGGGAAGGTGTAGATTCCGCCTCCCTCTGCGCACGCGCGGCTCCAGGACCAGAGTCTCTTGAATCGAGTTCATTTGCATACGGGCGCGCGCGCGTCGCGGGCGGGGCGGGGCGAGGGCGACGCGCGTCCCCGCGGCCTCTATTGTCCTTTTAAGGGGAGAAGCGGAGCGGCGCGGGAAACGCGGCCGGCGAGGGTGGGGCCTGCTTACTACGGCGACGTCACGTCAACAAACGCCCCGCGGCGGGGCGGGCCGGGCGGAAAGGTGCACTGTCGCTGGACTCCACCGCATTCCCGCGGCGCCCGCCATGCGCGGAAAGTTCCGGAAACTGCTTCTGCGGACTTCGGGGCCCTGAGAGTTTCTGGCCCTGGTGACCGACAAGGGCGTCCGGGAAGACCCGAGTGCACCCTCGGCGCACCTTTCCAAAGTTCGGTGCCAAGGTCAGCCTTGCATTTTAGCTCCTTCATGGGGAGGCTCAGCGGATAAAGCAGCTTGCGGCCAAGCCTGAAAATCTGAGCTTGAGTCCCGGGACTCCTGCGGTGCAACCCCCCGCATCCCCCGATTCCAGCAAGTTGGCCTCTGGAATCCCACGTGATCACACGCAGGCACACAGATAAAATGCAATTCTCCAGGGCTGCGGAGGGTTTCTTTTCGATGTTTCAATGAGTCGTTTAAAAAAGTCCCATCTTGACACCATGCGTCCGCTACCTCCCTTCGCTCTGCTCGGACGGCGATCCACTGCACCCTGTGGGCATTGACTTTCGAGCATCTTGGAAGTGAACATCTGAGGGTGCTGCTTTCTGAAAAGGCTGGTCCAGAGCCCTCCAGCCTGGAAGAGGCTCCCTCCCCAGACAGACACTAACGGGGCTTCGAACCCGGGAGAGGCGAGCAGGGGCACACTTCCCTATGAAATACGTGCTAGCCGGACATCTAAGTGATTCAGAGGGGAAAAAAGGTTCTAGAAAAGGGAGAGACTAGAGAAAACCAAAGGGAGCAAAAAGACCCCGAAGTAACTTCTCAGATGAAAAAAGAAAGGAATGACTGCCATCCTCTTCCCTAACACCTGGTTTAAGACCCTGGGAGGCCGGGTGCACGAAAGACACGTTCCCAGAAACTTGATCCGGGTTCGAGCTACACTGTGAAAATCCTCAGTAAAGCTTCATCTGCAGGCAGGTTTCACCCGTTTCACTGAACTGTCAACAATACAGATTCAAATAGATACTTCTGAAATGCTAATTTAATTCAACAGCCAATTCCTAGAACACACAATTCAAATTTATGAAGTTCTGTAACAGGATTCTTGTAGGGGAGGGGAGAGAAGAAACCTCACACCTCGATTTTTAAAACGGGGACTCTTTAAGGGCAAAGACCATTCTCACTTTTGTGTTCCAGCGCCTCAAACGGCGCCAAACACAATCCGAGTAACTGTTTGTAAAATATACTAGAATTTTTTAAAGTTTTTTTGTAGGTTTATCTCAAGTTAAAATACCTTTACAGTTTTTTCATTTAACCTCAAACGAGTTTGGGGTGATAATGAAAACCTTGGTTGATAGGATGATATCCTGTCTTTAAGGTAATAAAAACGTATATCCTGAATAACTGTGTCCAGTCTTCCATTGGTAGCAAATGGCACCAAGAATAAAACTCTACATTTTTCTTTTTCTTTTATTTTACATTGTGAGTGGGTGGAGGTCAGAGGACAGTTCAGGAGAGTCAGGTCTCTCTTCCACCACGTGGTCCTGGGTACTGAACTTAGGTCATCGGGCTTGGCGACCATATTAACTCCTTGTTCTGGGTTGGTGCAAATACTTGTTTTATGACACCTCCCCCCCCCCAAATATTGTCAAATTAGTAAATGCCTTGAAAGTATAAAAAGCAAGTATATTTTTAATACATCTATTACTTAAAATACATTTATATATAAAATTTTAAAACGTGTCTTGGATACCTTTTCGGTGCTTTTTGAAATTTTTTCTTACTGAAAATTTATGTAAAGAATATTCATTGTAGGACTGGGGTGTAGCTTAGTGGTAAAGTTCCCCAGCCCCCCCCCAACACACACACACACACACACACACACACACACACACACACACTGAAAAGACTGTGCGAAGGAAGTAAAGACTGTATATTGTAATCCAGAGAAGGAGACAGGAATTCCAATATTTTCCGATGACCGGCTACATAAAGAGCCTGGAAGTCTCAGAGCTACTGAACTAATGTCACACACAGAGCAAGATTCCTCTACTCTGAAAGTAGAGGTCAGGAAGAAACCTGGATAGTTTTTGTAGGAAGGGTAGCAAGAAAATCCTTCCAAGAACTCCTTGGACTATTTTTTATGACCACTTGCTCTTTTTTGAACATCCAGGTACATTCCAAAGGTTCTTTCCTTCATTTTATTGTTTGAACATGACATAGCTAGTCCTGCCCAGGGCTAATAACTCGCTTAAGGGCTACCTTAAAAATATTATTACCTAAGCACCATAAGTGAAGTTTTTTTCTTTTCTGCCCCCTCCATAAGTGATTTTTTTATCACAGAAAAGAAGTATCTCATAATATATAAATTTGGATTATGAGAAATTGAATTGCACCATGCTAGGAAAATGGGTATTTTAAGCTATAATACTATGTTATACTTACGATTCTCAAGAATTTTCAGCTAACTAGCCTGATAGCCTAGTTAAGCCACCTACTTTGATCATAATGTGTTTTCCCCACTATCCAATTGTCCTTAATGCTTGAGTATTTGTATGCATTTAGGAAACATTTAATCATCTGAATTGTATGCCAAATAGTAAAATCATTTCACAGTTAGTTGGGATCAGGCTTTCTCAAGTCTTCTGATTTGTTTTTGTACAGTTCTGTTAGTTACTTTTTATCCAACATATTTTATTCAAGATTTAATTGTAACAATAATTTTTATTGTATGAATGTTTTGCCTTCATGTATGTAAGCACACTGGTGTACAATGCCCACAGAAGTCAGACAAGGGCATCAGATCCCCTGAACTGGAGTTACCAATGGTTGTTAGCTGCCATACAGGTGCTGGGAACCAAACCTAGGTCCGTTTTCTCACAGTTTTCATTGAATTTCCTTAGTTTACCCAACAAAGTTTTATTAAGCATGTACTATATGAAGGCAGACACTAAGTGAGGCACTAGCAGTACATTAAAAAGAAATTTAGGAGCTGCAGAAATGGCTCATAGGTTAAGAGCACTGGTTGCCAGATAAAGATAAGTGTTACTTAAGAACTGGTGTGGCAGATCTCTGTGAGTTCAAGTCCAGCCTGGTCTACATAGTGAGTTCCAAGCAGACTGGGGCTAAGGAGACCCTGTCAAAAAAAAAATATATAATAAAATCAGTCGATCAGTCTGGCCATGTGTGCTGATACACACATGGTTGAGCATACATGTGTGTTAACCAGCACTTGGAAGGCAGCAACAGGCAGATCTCTGTAAGTCAGAAGCCAGCATGGTCTATCTGCATAACTAATTCCAGGCCAGCTAGGGCTGCATAGTGAGACCCTGTCTCAAAAAAAAAAAAAAAAAATCAGTTTAGGTCTAGAGAGATGGCTCATCAGTTAAGAGCACTTGCTGCTCCTACAAATGACCTGAGCTCAGTTCCCAGCACTCACATGGTGGTTAACAACTGTCTGTTCCAAGAGACCTGACACCCTCTTCTGACTTCCATTGGTTCACGTGCACATAGGGTGTACATGCATATACTCAGGCACACACACACACACACACAAAATAAATATTTAAAAACAAAAAAACACAAGAGACTCTCATTCTTGGCCAACCTGGGCTACATGAGACCCTGTCTCAAAAGACTGAATAGCAGGGCATGGTGGTGCAAGTCTTTAATCCCAGCACTAGGGAGGCAGAGGCAGGTGGAGCTGTGAGAGCAAGGCCAGCCTGGTCTACACAGAGTTCCAGGCCAGCTGTGGCTACAGGGAGACCCCATCTCAAAAAACCAACAACAGAGGCTGGAGAGATGACTCAGCAGTTAAGAACACTAATTGTTTTGCAGAGGACTCGGGTTCGAATTTCAGTACCACATAGTGGCTAACAACAGTCTGTAACTCCAGTTCCAGGGAATCCAACACCCTCTTGTGACCTCCTTGGGCATCACAGGATACAGGGGCACTTACATACATGTAGGCAATACAGCCATTACACTTAAGAATAATAAAGAAAATATTTTAAAAATAACTAAGCCAGGCACAGTGGCCCACAACTTTTAATCCCAGCATTTGGGAGGCAGAGACAGGCAGATCTCTGTGACTTCAAGGCCAGCCAGGTCTCCATAGCTAATCCAGACCAGCTGTGACTACAGGGAAACCCTGTCTCAAAAAGACCTAAATAAATAAGTAATGAAATTTAAAATAAAAATGTTAATGTCTTTTTTTTTTTTTTTTTTTTTTTTTTTTTTTTTTTTTTTAAAAATGTTTATTGTTTTTTTTTTTTTTTTTTTTTTTTTTTTTTGTCTTTTTGACACAGAGTCTCCCTGTAACCCCAGCTGACCTGGAACTTACTATGTAGACCAGGCTGGCTTTGAACTCACTGAGATCCACCTGCCTCTGCCTCCCCAGTGCTGGAGCCAAAGGCTTGCACCACCATGCCCGGCAAAAAATGTTAATGTCTTTTGAAAAAGATGGGATGTGAGTATGGATGTGAACACATTCATTTAGTCAGAGTAGATGGCAGGTGTTCCAAACAACCACACAAATACGAACGATGAAAAAGAAAAAGTACCAGAAGCCTGACCATGGCTGGCAAGGGCGGCTGGCCTCCTTGAGACTCAAAGAAGCTTTAAAAAATGAAATTGAGAGCCAGGCATAGTAGTCCACACTAAAATCTCAATACTCAGTATGCAGAGCCACGAGGATCACCATAAGGCTAGCCTGGACTACAAAGTAAGACTGTCTCAAAACAAAACAAAAAAAGGGAAAAAATGAAGTGGACTTATTATTAGTAGGATTGTTTGGAGAATTAGTAAAAGGAGAAAAGTTGAACTGGTAGCAAATTCAAGAATAGTCTTAGAAATAGCCAAGAGCCTACAGTGGTAAGGCAAGACAGACAGACAAGGAGAAAAGCCATGCCACTGACTGAATAAGTCACACATATCCACCAGGCATGCTGGGGCACACCGTTAATCCCAGCACTCCAGAGGCAGAGGCAGGTGGATCTTTGTGAGTTGCAGGCCAGTATGATCTACATACTGAGACCCTATCTATTAAAAAAAAAAAAAGTCATGTGGGGTGTGGTGGCACATGCGTTTAGTCTCAGCACTTGGGAGGCAGAGGTAGGCAGATCTCTGTGAGTTTCAGGCCAGCCTGGTCTACATAGCAGGTTCAGGCCAGCTGGGGCTACAGAGAGACCCTGTCTCAAAAAGATAAAAAAAAAAAAAAAAAAAAAAAAAAAAGTCATACACATTTCTGTTTAAGAGGGAAATGATACCAGGTGTTAAAGACTAAGAAGAGTTAGAATTCAAGACCTTATAAATACCTAAAAGCTAAAAGCTTTTACCCCGAGACAAAAACTTAACATTGATTAAATGGTAATTGGTCTTATCAATATGTGGGGTTTTTTCTACAGAAGTTTATTTTTCTCAATGCCAAAAAATATCCAGGACTATAGAGGAATTTAATATTTTTAAAGACATGCCAACCATGGTAATATAGACTCATGGCCCCAGCACTCAGGAGGCTGAGGTAGGTTGATTGTCATAGCACAAGACCACCCAGGCTACATAGTAAGACTCTGTCTTAAATCAGTAAATAAGTAAAAAAATAAAAACATGCATACACTTTTTAAAATTTGAATTTATGTCTATTAATTTAAAAACAGCAATGCAGTCTCAGAACTTAGACCAGCAAATAAGAAAAGTTGGTTTTGGGGGCTGGAGAGATAGCTCAGCAGTTAAGAGCACTGGCTGCTCTTGCAGAGGACCCAGGTTTCGATTCCTAGCACCCACATGGTGGCTATGAACTGTCCTTAACTCCAGTTCCAGGGGATCCAATGCTGTCTTCTGATCTCTGCGGCATTGCAGAACACGAGTCTACTCACATACATGCAGGCAATACACTCATATACATAAAATAAAATATTTTTTAAAAAAAATAAAAATTGGTTTCAAGATATCTAGACACATTGTCAGTTACATACTGTACATACATGGATACAACAATCTGTGCTGTTAGTTTCATAGTGCTTTAGTGTTGTGTTGCATGTAAAAAGTAAAACAGATAAAACTAAATGAACACACGGGGAAAGATACTGTCAGAGGAGCATACTGCATTCTGAATTCTGAACAGGCAAGGTTTAATATTTGGACATACTTAAAAAATTTTTTTTTTCCAAGCCAGACATAGTGGCACATGCCTTTAATCCCAGTGCTCAAGAGGTAGAGGCAGGTGGATCTCAAGGCCAGCCTGATCTACATAGTGAGTTCCAGGCCAGCTGGGGCTACAGGGAGACCCTGTCTCAAAAAGACCAAAAAAAAAAAAAAAATTTTTTTTTCCAGGCAGGCTCTTGTATAGCCCAGGTTAGCCTTGAGCTCTCTATGTAGCCAAGGATTAGCTGTTTCTTATAATAAAAGTTAGGAAATGTTTTAGGTTTCACATGCAGACAGCTTGTTGAGAATTGAAACCCTGCTGTATGCCCTGAGTTTGATCTCCACACCACACACACAAACACACATGCAAATTCACCCAAAATAATATAAATGAAAATCAGCACAGGAAAAGATTACTTTTATTTTTATAAAAAGATTATAAGTGGGGCTGGAGAAACGGCTCAGTTGGTTAAGAGCACTGTCTGTTCTTGCAGAAGACCTGGGTTTGAATCCCAGCACCCACATGGCAGCTAACAACTGTCTGTAAGTCCAGTCCCAGGGGATCCGACAGCCTCTTCCGACCTCCGAGGGAATTGCACGACACGGGTACACTTACCTACATGCAGGCAATACATGCATACACATAAAAATAATGTGGGCATGGTGGCGCATGCCTGTAGTCCCAGCACTTAGGAAGCAGAGGCAGGCAAATCTTTGTGAGTTCGAGGCCAGCCTGGTCTACATAGTGAGTTCCAGGATAGCTGGAGCTACAGGGAGACCCTGCTTCAAAAAGACAAATAAATAATAAAATAAAAAGTTAACTACAGGGCTGGAGAGATGGCAGTTAAGAGTACTTGCTATTCTTCCTGAGGACCTGGGTTCAATTTCCAGCACTCACATGGTGGCTAACAACAGTCTGTACCTTAAGTTCCAGTGGGGCCTCTTCTGCCTTTTGTG